AAAGTAATGGGGGTGTGGTTGTAGCCCTGGGTGCAGTTGGGGGCAAGGGGTGCATTTCCTGTGTGTTCAGTTAAAGGTTGGTTTCCAGGAGGGCACTGAGTGAATTTTTCTGATTGGGGGCAGGAGGCTAAGTTTGGGAACCTTTGGCACAGACTCACTCATTGATCTCTCCTCTGATTTATTATACCCTCTTCATCCTCATTTGTCTTGATGCTCAAAAGTCCCAGGTCTGGTCAGCGGCGGAAGCACTTCCTTGCTGACTGGTACACCCTGGTGTCTCATCCTGATCATGTGTTCACGGTTGCCTTTTCAGGGGGCCCCCCAGCAGTGCTCAGGGGTCTCGGGTCTGCCCTGCCCTCCTCAGCCCTACAACATGGATGTTGATGTGGTGCTGCCCTGGCCCAGGGGTCCTAGGGGCCATGCAGTGTCTGTGCCAGGGACCAGACTCAGGACCTTGTGCATGGGAGGAATGCAGCCCCACCTCTGAGCTGACCCCCAGCCCCGAGTACTGCCTTTTTCTCCTGCCCCCAAGGTTTGTCCCAGCTCCAGCCCTGAGGCATAACTTTCTGCAAGGTGCCCCAGTTCCTTTCACTTGAAACCAAGATCTAAGTCCAAAAGTGCTCATAATTAGGATGTTACAGTGTCTCTGCTTTCAGGCTTTCTCCGAGGCCACAGCTAGAGAATATATGTGAGCATTATATGTATACATGCATACATACACACATGCACATACCTACATACCTACGTACCCAGTTATGTCACTCAGTTCAATCCAGTTCCAGTTCTACACGAGCCCTGTGTCCGTTTCTCTTCTTCTCTGTGTTTGTGACTCGTGACTCTGCTAGCTGCAAGCCTGATTCCATCATCCGTGGAACTTGCTTGATGAGTCTCGATCAGTTGCCGGGCGACAGGCCCCTTCCGGCTGGCTGCCCTTCTCACCCCGTCTGGACTCGGACCCCCTAAGCAGCACTGCCTCTGCGCCCCGCCATCCAGAGCTTCCTCAGCTGCTTATGCTCCTGCATGGCCTCCCACCTGGGTGGAGATGGCACTAAATGAGATGTAGGGACCTTCCAGAAACTCTTACTCCTCATGGGGGCCACCACCAGCGTAGCCAGCCGCCTTCTTCCGACTTAGCTGTTTTCTTTCCCGCGGGCCATGCCTAGGCCGCTGCTTTGACACCTCACACTCTGACCCTCATGCTCGGCGGGGTGTGGACCCCTTCCTTACCCTGCTGGAAGAGCATCCCCCGGCCAGGGAGCTCTCCTCCCCACGCTCAGGATGTCCTCCTGCCCACCCGAGCTCTGACCTGCCAGTTCCTGTTCTCCTGCTCTTCCTTGGCTTTGCTGCATCCCTGCCACCATGGCTACCACCTCCACCCTTTGCCCACGATGCCCTCCCCTCCACACACACGCCCTCCTGCTTGAGCTAGGACACTCAAGCCCAGCCTCAACATATACACTGAGAGGCTAATTCATTCACATGACATGTGTTTACACGCGCACACACACAGACACACACACGCACCCTCTTGCATTGGCTGAGACCCTGCTGTGGAATCTCATCATACACACCAAGCAAAGGTTAATCCTCCACATGTCCTGTGTCTGCACCCGGCGCACACACACAGTGGGCCCGGGCGTCCTCCCTGTCATTCAGTGGAGCTTGGTGACAGACGTGAGGCATCTGTCCCCAGCTGGACTCATTTCCGGACTTCCGCTCAGAAATACAGGGCCACCAAGCCCAGATGGGTGCCCGCAGCCTGCTTGTGTCTGCCGAGACCGAGTCTCCTGGCATAGGGAGGCAGCTCTGGGCCTGTCCGTCCACTGCTGGTGCTCACTGCGGTCTCTCGCCCAGATGCGCCTGCCCCGAGGTGTGGCTGGCCCAGGGTGGTGAGGGCCCGAGGGCAGAGCCTCAGGCATCGTGACCTGAGCCCCAGGTTGGCCCTGGACCTGGGAAACCGCTCTCCCCACATGGGCATCTCCCCACTGATGCCCCGTCCAGGCTTATCTGCCACCCACACCCCCCGCTCTCTCAGGAAAGAGTTCAGCTCTGCACCCCAACGCTTCCCTTGGTCGGACACTTGGTCTCTTCCTCCGGCTCAGACCAGCCCCGCTGAGGGCAGTGCCCCTTTGTTGTTTGTCTGTTTGTCTTTCCTGTCCCCCCGCCCCGCCTCGCGCCATCCCCACCCATCCCCCCACATCAAGTCACTCTGCAGCAGCGGGCCAGGGGCTTGCAGGGAGGTGGCCAGCAGGCCGGGCTGCCGCCAATGTCCGGTCGGCGTGTTTGTTTCCTGTGTCGGCCCCGGGAGCGAGTGTTTACTCGGCGATGACAGACACATGCAGGATGGAGCGCGGGGCTCAGCGGCTCACCTGCGCCCGCCAGGCCGCGCCAGGCCAGGCCTCGGTGCGGGCGCTAATGAGGCAGCACAGGAAGTGCCGCTGAACAGGGGTCAGCTGTGAGCCCAGCCTCCCGGCGGGCCTTTGAAGCAGGAGACAGCTGGGCTTGGGTTTCAAGGCCGTGACGCGGCCATCGCGAGATAGTCATCTGTCAGGGCACAGGGGACCACATGTGGGCAGCAGTTGTGTCCGGCCGGGCCGAGGGAGCGGCAGACGCCTGATTCCCAGGGCAACCGCCCCGGCCCTTCCCAGGCCCTGCGCCCTGCCAGGGAGCGTAGCCAAAAAGAATCGATTTGGTGAGACTGAGGCTGGGTGTGAGAAACCTGGGTCTCTCCAGGGCCCCTTCCTACTCCCAGCACTGGAGGGTTCCTGGCTCTCCGCTGTGATGCCGTCCCTGCCAATCCCAGGGTGGGGCTGGGAGGGCTCCATGCTTCTCCCGACCTCCGCCCCACTCTGTCCCTCAAGATTTTCTAGCACTGAGCTCTCATGATTCTCAAAATGAACAACAGAAAATGAATTATCTAGCGTCTGCCCCTGGCAGGTAGGCGTGAATGGTGGTGGGAAATTTCGAGCAAAACATAATGCCCAGGGGCTGGAGCAATAGCACAGCAGGTAGGGCGATTGCCTTGCACATAGCTGACCCGGGTTCAATTCCCAGCATCCCATATGGTCCCCTGAGCCCCTCCAGGAGTAATTCCTGAGTGCATGATCCAAGAGTAACCCCTGAGCATCGCCGGGTATGACCCAAAAAGGGGAAAAAAATTATAATGCCGAAAATGAGAGGGAGAATGTTGGGGAAATTGTCAGCCATAGAGGCAGGGTGAAGACTGGGTGGTGGAAAATGTGCCCTGGTGGAGGGATGCATGTTCCATCATTGTATGACTGAATCTCAAACATGAAAGCTTTGTAACTATCTCATGGTGATATAAGTAAAAAGAAAAAAAAAAGTAACATGGAGTTCATGCCGAATTCAATCAGTGTAATCAATGGCTGAACAAATAGCTGTGCTCCTACATTATTAAAATAAATAAGATAATAATAAAACTTTTTAGTTAAAAAATAAAATAAAAAAGATTTTCTAGCGCCAGTGGGGGTGAAAAGAAGTTTGGGGAAAGGGTGGGGTGCTAACCCTTGGTCTGACGTGTGTGCTGAGAGGGTGCTCATCTGTGTGAGAATACTCTTCCGAGGGGCGTCCTTGTCCCGAGCGTTTCGTTCACGGACTCGGAAGGGAGAACCTTATCTCCCCCCTAAGCCCTCTTGACTGTTTACACGGCTGCTGGAGGACTGGCTGAGAAGTGGCAGCCGTGGGCGCTGGGGGACTCCTTAATAGTCGGGCCACAGCTGCCGGGGCTGATTGGAACTTAGCAGCGGGCGCGATAACGCTATCGCAGGAGTGAAGAGTTAAGTTGCTTATCAGCTCAACTCGATAAGCTACTTAGCGTGGACAGTAGCCTGGGCAGTGGGCGTGGGGCGCTGCGGCCCGGGGAGCTCTGTGCCCCGCCTGTCCACTCCGGGGCCTCGCACCTCATTTGTTACCGTCCACGCCCCAGCTGATAATCTGCTGGACCACGGGCAACCCCCACCCCAAGGCGACCCTCGCATGGCAGTCCATGCTCATCCAGCATGGCTGGTGAGCCGCATCTGTCCGGCCTGACCCGCCATGCTGGGGGCACTGCTCAGCCCAGCTCTACCCCAGGTTTTCTGCAAGTTGGCACCGGATCACGGAGCCCTTTAGAGTCAAGTCCTTTGCCATGGGGCGGATGCTTCTCCTTGCTGACTCCCTGGCATGGATGGGGGTGCCCTGGCCGGGGGTCTTTGACCCCGGAGCAGGAGCATGTGTATGTCTGACAACTCCCAGAGGAAGGACGATGCCGGGGAGGCACCAGGAGCAGCATCGCCCTGAGATGAAGGGAATCGGGGCAAGGACGGCTTCTGGGGGAGCCGGGGGAGGAAAGGGCCACGTTTGTCCAGGCTCTGGCAGGTGTGCGGCCCCTGGACTTTCCCCACGGAGTCCCCGCAAGAGGCCTGAACGGGAGAGCCTGGAAGGCAGCTTGGAGGAATGGGGTATCCCCGCCAGGCCCCTCCACTCAGGGTACCACTCCCTACGGAGGAACCCAGGGTTTGGGCCATGGTGGGAGTCAGGGGGCAGGGCAGGAGCAGGGGTGCAGGGCGTGGGCTTGGAGCTCCAGGACCGGCCCCAGAGTTGGACCCGGCTGGCCCCCTGGGGTGGTTTCCGGCTCTGAGGCCTCCGAGTTTCCCCGTGGACAGCCATGGTGGCAGCGTTGTGTGTGGCCAATCTGGCAGGACATGTGGTTTTCCTGCTGGCTGTGGGATGGTGGGGCTGTTCCTGACCACCGAGCTGGCTTGGAATCTCTGCGGCAGGCTGGGGCTGTCTCGGAGGCACAGCGATGCTTTAGAACGGACACGCAGCCCTCTGCCCGCCGACGGCCATTTCCCTGGATCCCAGGAATAAACCTGCACATGGCCGGTGTGTGCGTCTGACACAGCCCAGGACGGGAGGACCGTTCTGGCTCCAGCCGCGCGTTTACTCCTGGCTGAAGGCTAGACGCCGAGTACTAATCTCTCCGTTTCCCTCCTCCGCAGCTATCTCCCCTGGTTCGAAGTGTTCTATAAGCTGCTTAATGTCCTGGCAGATTACACAACGAAAGGACAGGTATTTGCCTTTTTCTTTTGTTCTTTTTAAAGTTAAATGTTCATGGTGATCAAGCCACACATGTGTTAAATGTCCAAAAGCTAAATATTCATGGTGATCAAGCCACACATGTGCCCTAAAGTTCACCAAGATGGGTTACCCAGAGGTAATAATACAGGCCCGTTTTAGAAAGCTCTTGGAAATTTTAGAAAATAGTAGAAGGGAAGGGAAGGTGGGGAGGGAGGCACTTTTCTGGCAGTGCCCAGGCCGTGCCCCTGGCACCACTGAGGACAGAGGGGGGGAGCAGGAATCAGACCGGGCCTTGCACCCTTGGAGCCCGTCTCTCCGGCCACAGGGAGGGACATCACTGCCTTCTCCTGCCCCACCGAAAACAAACGCCACGAGCTTCAGGGAGGCTCCTGCGGTTTGAGTTAAGTCAGTCATATGTTCAGCCCTCAACCCTCACGGAGGTAACACCCATGTGATCTGACCTTCCTGGAAGTTCACGACCTGCCTTAGCTCGTCATGGTCATACCAGGCTGAGCATCAGGCGGGCTGCACTGTGTGCAAAGCAGGGGCTTGTGGGTAAAGCTCTCTGCCAGCAGGCGGCCCCACTGGTCCCCCTTTCAACCCGGCTCTGTCTTTTAAGGGCCTGAAAATTACCTGCAAACTAGAGCCATGTTTCACTACCCTTTTGGAAGAAACACCACACTGTAGCGTTCCTCAATCTGCCGCTGACCAGTGCTACTTCCCACCACATTTTTTTTTCTTTTTCATTTTTGCTTTTTTTTTTTTTTTTTTTTGCGTTTTGGGTCACAGTGATGCTCAGGGGTTGCTCCTGGCTTCACACTCAGGAATTACTCCTGGCAGTGTTTGGGGGACCATATGGGATGCCGGGGATCAAACCCAGGTCGGCCACATGCAAGGCAAATGCCCTCCCTGCTGGACTGTCGCTCCGACCCCAACCCCCGCCCCCATTTTCTTGCTGTGGTCCCATTTCATGCGACATGGCCCATCACTTGCGTGTTGTGTCACCTGGGCCCCCTTGGAATATCTCGGGGGCCAGCGGGAGACCTCCGGCCTTGGCCGAGCCATGCTGCATTGCTGTGCTGCTGTCTGTGGGCGGCAGACGGCCAGCTGAAGCGGGTTTAGAGGGTGGTGCCCACCTTTCTTTTTTATTTTTATTTATTTATTTTATTGAATCACCATGAGATACAGTTACAAAGCTTTCATGTTTGAGTTTCCGTCATACAATGACAGAACACCCATCCCTCCACCAGTACACATCTTCCACCATCAATTCCCCCTACCACCACCACATCCCACCCCTCCCACTGCCTCTATGGCAGACAGTTTCCCCATACACTCTACTTTTGGGGTAGACAAAGTACTTTCCACAGTGGCCTTCCCCTGCAGCAAAGCCGTCAGCCCCACACATGACTGCATCACGCCGTATTCCTGACGGTCACTCATGGGAGCATCTCCCCATTGCAGGGAACGGCTCATCACGTGACACCTTCCCAGGTCTCAGCACAGCCACTGGCTGTCTTGGCATGTGAAGCATTTTCTTCATTTTGCACGTCCTCCTTTAAAGGAGAGCGTAGTGGGGCCATGGTCAGGGCAGGGGATACACATGTGGGCCAGACTGCTTTCTGAGCCTCCTGAGCACATTCACGTGCTGCTCATGTGCAGCTCACGGCTTCTCTGACACGTGACAGTCTGATTGTTTCCATCGCATTTCTTATTAGTCAAGAGTGAATATAGCAAGATACAGATCTGTCCACTTATATTACTTAGCAATTAATAAGTATATCACTTATTTTCTTTTCCTTTTTGCAAGTGACTTTAATGATTAAAATGATTATGATCATTGAAATGATTAAACAAATTTAAATAAATACATCATATAAATATACTGTACTGTACTGGCCTGTCCTCCCATTGTTTATCAACTTGCTCGAGCGGGCACCAGTAGCATCTCCATTGTGAGACTTGTTCTTATTGGTTTTTTTTTTTTTGGCATATCTAATACATCACGGGTAGCTTGCCAGGCTTTGCTGTGCGGGCAACATACTCTTGGTAGCTTGCCGGGCTCTCCAAGAGGGGCGGAGGAATCCAACCTGGATCGGCTGCATGCAAGACAAATGCCCTACTCACTGTGCTATCGCTCCAGTCCTTATATAAATATATAAATAAATATTTAATAAATAAATCTTATAAAACTTAATAAATAATTAAAATGATCTATTATTAGTAAATGTAGAAAAATGCCCCCATGGGACCCAAGTGATAGTACAGCAGGGAGGGCATTTGCCTTGCACACAGACACCCTGGATTCAGTCCCTGGCATCATCCCATATGGTCCCCTGAGCACTGCCAGGAGCAATTCCTAAATGCAGAGCCATGAGTAACCCCAGAGCATCAACAGGTGTGACCCAAAAAAAGCCAAAAGAACAGAAAAAGAAAAAAAATCACCCATATTTTCTATAGAATGTGATAGTTCTAGAAAATGCTTCATAAAATGGCAGTTGACATTTTGTGTGATTTTTCAGTTTTTTTGGAGGTTGGGAGAAAGGAAATGGTTTCATATTTTCCTTGAGAGCCTTAACAGTGTCGGCTCTGGGAAGTGCGGTGGAGACACCTGTGCCATTTGTGCCTTCCCATCCTGTGTGGCACCAAACCCTTATTTTTGTTTTGACTTTTTTTTTTTGTGGGAGACATTCCAGGTGGTACTCAGGAAGTCTGGGGTGAGGGGAAGTGGGGCGAAGAATTCCCCAGCCATCCAGTACAGGAGTCTCTGACTGTGATGCTGCTTGTGCCCTGCAGTGGCAGGGGCTATCCAGGCCACCCCGTTGTGCTGGGGGCCTCCAGGGCCACACCCAGGAATGTTCAGGGGACCATGTGGTGCTGGGAACCACATGCCTCGCATGTGCAGTATTCCCTGGGCCTCCCACCCTTCTTGTCCAGGACAAGGATCCGCATCCTGAAATGTGCGTTTCTGGGAAGAGAATTCAGGAAGAATGTGGCAAGGCGTGTTGAACTGAGAGCCCCATCCCAGGCTGTCCTCGCTCTGAGAGGAAGCACCACCAAAAGGGATTCTGCCCCGAGGCAGCAGGGGACACTGTGTGGCTGGGTCCAGGGGGCTCCTCAGGTCACTCGGCCATTTCTGCTTCCCGGGGCCCTGGAGTCAAACACTCGGGCTGTCTCAGGACTTGGAAAGACTTCTCTAGCCAAGAGAAATGCTTCCCGTTGGTTCTTAGTCGTTTTCGAGCCGGAGATTGAGTCACATGTTCTTCCATGTTTTTGCCCCAGTCAGTTCATACAAATGGGAAACAAAATTCAGGAGACTTTTAAACTTGGGACCCGAGGGTTTGGGAAGGTTGCATCAGTGGCTCCCATGCATAGGAAGCCAGATAGTTGCTGTTTGCACTGCCCGGGGCAGGGCAGATGAGGCAGCTCTCTCCTTTAGGGGAGCCTCGTCCTTTCTTGGGAAGCACTGGAGATCAAAGAAAGGCTGATGGGGGCCTGGAGCGATAGTACAGTGGGTAGGGCATTTGCCTTGCACATGGCAGCCCGGGTTCCATTCCCAGCATCCCATATGGTCCTCCGAGAACCTCCAGGAGTAATTCCTGAGTGCAGAGCCAGCAGTAATCCCTGTGTATCTCCGGGTGTGACCCAAAAAGAAAAAGAACAAAGAAAGGGTAATGGGTGATAGGGGAAGGGCTACCTCTTGCCTGTTTGCAAGGTCTGGGACCATCATATCTGAGGGGGAAGGGGAGGGGGAGGAGGAAAAAAGAGCTTTCTCTGTAAAAATCTGGAATGTCCTCCTCCTAGCAGACACTGGGAGACCAGAGCGAGGCAGGCTTCGGTTTGGGAGGGGAAGAGATGGAGGATGAAAGTGTCTCTTTGGCCCAGGGTCGTGGCCTGGCATCACCCTGACTGAGGCCCCATCCCTATGGGAGGGAGATCGAGGTTGAGGAGAGGGAGAGGGTGAAGTGTGCGGGGCATTGGTGCCCCAGCTCTGCCACATGCCTCCATTGGCATCAAGGCATCCCCAGGAGACCGGAGACAGCGACAGTGACCCAGCACTGGGATCCTGGGGTAGGGAGGGGGGGTTGGGGGGGATCTGCGGGATGGAGGTTAATAATTGGGTAGGTAGGGTGCAGGGGTAATGATATAATGGATTGGTCACATTATTAAGAAAACAAGTGTTCAGTTCTTTGCTTTTGTGGAGTGGAGCTGCAGGCATGTAATAGGAAGAAGTGAGAATCATGTCTGAAGGTGAGGTTGGGACTAGAGCCATTGGCTCCAGTCATAGCTCTTAGCGTCTGCCAGATAGGAGTAGGCTCTGTTTGGGTGTGTAATGTGGAGTCCAGCAAAGGCTACTGTCCGGACAGGGTCAGGGTATGTAGAAGATGTGCTGGAATCCACATGCCAAATAGTAAGAAAGTGCTAGAACCATGGTGGGCCGTATGAGGAAGATACACAAGGAGCCTGAGAGGACAGGGAACCCCCACGGGTCACAGGCAAAACCACTCAACAAAACTGATGCAGTGACCAAGACAGGAGGCCCCTGGGGCCGTGCCCATATCAGATAAGTGAGTTGCCAAAGGCGAAGTTTGGTGTGGAGCAGGGTGTTTGCGGAAAGCATCACTTTGCAGAACACCAGCAAAATAATCAGGAGCCTTTCACGAAAGAGATTTCAGATGAATCAATCAAATGATCAAAGTGAGCATCATCTTTAAGGCAAAGGATCGAAATCTCAAGCACTATCAGACCATTGAGAGTTAGCGTACAAAACGGCTGGTCTCTCTGTCAAGGTCAGACACACTCAGGGTGGACGAAGGCACGGGGTCCGAGCATGCGTGCTGCTGGCCTTGCTTCTTTTGCTGTCAGGGGCACTCACTCTCGACCGGAGACCTGAGGTGCAGAGGGCTCTGTTGCATGCAGGCTGGTTTCCTGATCCCAGTGAGTAATCGTGGTTCTGTAGAAGAATGCCCTTTTTTTCTAATTTATAGATGATACTGGTAATGAAATCTCCAATTACTGATAAGGCAGTCTCCCCCCCACCCCTGCTACCTTTTTTTTCCCACCAGTAATATCCCACCAGTATTCTAAAAATTTGAGGTTTGCTGCTGAATCTCGGATTTGCAGGATGAAAAGTACACACGTACCTCCCTCCCTCTCCTTGGTGAGAGGCTGGAAGAATTTGTCAGCGTTCAAATTAGAACAGGCCCTTCGTTGGTGGTTCTTGCTCTCTCTGCTTGAATTCAGAGCCAGCCCCATAGCTGCAGTGCTGTGTTGGAGCTCTGAGCTGGGGGGCGGGGAGGGGGGTGCAGAAAACCTGCCCCGAGACCCTCGGCCTGAATTCAGAGCAAGGCGTCCCGCCCATCAGCACCTCCATTCTTGCGTCTGTCAAATGGGCACACTGCGAGGGCAGGGAAGGAATGGAGTCCTGTGTGAGCAAGTAACTGACACCGGCCACAGGACTCCCCACGCTGGGCACCATGGCTTGTTGAGCATCCTGTCGGCTGGTATGTTTCTGGGCACTTCACAGGTGAGCGTGTGTGCAGGCAGCTCGGAGCACTGCGCCTCCCTCATTAAGATGCACGACCCCCCTCCTTGATGGCCCGCTGCTGCGCGTCGCTCATTTTTAACTCCCTGTAATTGGAGGCTGCCGCGTGCCTCCCATGCACATGCAATAAAATTAATTGAGGGTAATGATGAAGACGAGATCTCTCGTGTCGCCCTTCTTCCTCCCGCCGCCCCCGCCCCATCCGCTCGTAGAGTTTGCATTTAAAAGTTGTTGCTATGGAGTTGGGGCGGCCAGATCTGCCGAGGGCTTATGGTGTAGGATCCATGAGAGGCGGTCAGGGTAGGAAACGTCAGACGCGGCAGGGTGGATGGATTCGTTTGGCTCATGCATGCACGGTGCTCAAGGGGAGTGTTCTGCCAAGCCCCCTTCTATTATGGGGCCAGCCCCTTCCGGCCCAACTCAGTTATGAGCCCCTGGAGCCCCCAGGCCATCCCTGACCCCACAGGCTCACGACCCCTGAGGGCTCAGCCTCACACGCGTGCGTGTTCCTAAGCCTGTCCTTTCTTTCAGGAGAGCCAGTGGAATGAGCTCCTTGCAAGTCTGCACAGACTGCCCATTCCCGACCCGGGCGAGTCTGTTCATCTCAGCGTGGTAAGTGGGCAGGGAACCCGCCGCCCCCCCAATCATTAGCCGCTCGCTGTGTCAGACTCACCTGCTTCCCGCCTGTACTCTCCGCACCCCTCATTACCCCCAAATTCAGAGCCTGTGGGCTCAGGCAGGCCCGAGAGTGAATGTCCCTCTGTCTCTGTGATTTCCGGAGCTGGAGGCCCCGGGCTACCCACTCCCTTCCTCTGCATGGCTACTCCAACCAATCTCCTCCCCCAGCCCCTGTCCTGGGGCTGCCCCTGGGCTGAAGCCGGCCCTGTCCCCCCCCCCCCGCCCCCAGCACCTTCCACACCTCTGCCCTGCTGCCCAGGGTACCTGTTGGGGGGTCACCCTTTCGAACCCAACTCTGGTTCTGTCTGCAGAGAAATCTCTCTGTCCGAGCCTCCTGGGCATCCCCGGGCCTGTCACCCACTCCGGGGCAGAGGTTCTCTCTCCCCCACTCTGGACCGGATGCCCTGGGAAATCAGGGATGCAAGACCCCACCTCATTCCTCACCCACGATGACTATTTCTTCGAACTTCTTGAAATACAAGCCGTGTGTTCTATGCTGGTCCATAGCGTGCCGGGGTCGCGGTGCAGGGCCCTCCCAACTCCAAGCAGGGTTTCCATCCCTCTCCTCGTTTTACTGGTGACCTGAGTGTTTGAATCAAAACCCTGAACTCTGTGAACCTCAGTTTCTTTGTCTCTCAGCTCAGGCTTCAGAGCAGACCTAGGGCTCCTCCCCTACATTTTGGTTCTAGAATTTTCCAACTCCCTGAGGCAGTCCCTGGTCTTGACCCACATTGACTGCACAGCCTGGGCCAGGAATTGACCATCCAGAGGCTCCCCGCCCCCGTGCCGTGGCGTCTGAACTGAACGCTTACAAAGTTCTGTCTTTATGCCACAGCCAGGTACAGTGTTGGTACTCCGTGGTTTTCCATGATTTTAAGAGTTTTCCCTCTTAGAACCAAGGACTGTTTCTTGCAGGGTGTTTGGTTGATGATCAAACTGCAAACAGTGTACTTTGAAAGCTGTGTATAATCAAATCAGTGTCCTGCCAGTAAAAGACACGTCTCTTCTCCCACTTCCAGATGCTACCTAAGGGGCCGGAGCCATAGTAGAGCAGGTAGGGTGTTTGCCTTGTAAGCAGCAGGCCCAGGTTCAATCCCTGGCATTCGATATGGTTCCCTGAGCACCTCTAGGACTAATTCCTGAGTGCAGAACCAGGAGTAACCCCTGAGCATCACTGTGTATGACCAAAGAAAACAAAAACAAATAAACAAAACAACAACAAAGCAAAAAAAACACTGCAAGCCAAGGGATGTATGACTCATGCTGGAAGCAGTACTGCATCTAGGCAGGAGCCTTCTTTCACAGGCTGGCTGAGGGAACCACGGAGCTGCCCATCCAAGGTTGGGAGGTAAATAGTGAAGATTGGGGTGTTTAAATCCAGGCCGGCTTCAAGCTTCGGTTCTCTCTCCTTGGTCCTGAGAGATGAGAGAAAAGAAGGCAGGAAGGAAGGAAGAAGCACTCAGGGCAGCTTCGTAGAGCACAGAACATCGTGAGAGATGAAGGAAGACGGAAGACTGAAGCGAAGGAGGACGTGAGCCTTCAGCTCCCCAGCCCCCCGGCCACTGCCCTCTGAGGGCAGCCTGGCCTCTGTCTCCTGGCCAGGCGCCTTGATCTCCTAACTGCCCTGCGTAATGGCCTTCGACAGATAGCCAAGTGAATCCCAGCTGGAGCAGCAGCTGCTGGAGGAGATGCGCCGGCCTCCAGGACAGACCCTCGCCGGGGCCCGCAGGAGCTGCCGGGGGCCAGGGTGCAGCCGTTCCATCCCGGCGCTTCCTAGGAATGCCTCTGACCTCCTCTGGGCCCAGTATTTCATGGGCGATGGAGCACGACAGAATCTCGGAGGACGTCCAGGATTCCGCTGGCTCTGGGAACCGCCGTGGTGTGCGGCTGGCAATCCCCCCCACCCCGTATCAGCGGAGGTGGAGAACCGTCCTTCCCTGTGTGCTCGGCATTCTACCCGCCACCGTGGCGTCTTGATTTTGAGGGGCTCTGTTTTTATCTAGCTAATAAAGCCTGGGACAGTGATAAAATAGCCCTCCTGGACCGTGTCTTTAATCACAAGAGACTATTTCTCTGTCAGATGTCGATGATTGAGAAAAATAGAAACCAGTGTCACGACGCAATAATCACAATTTATATTCAACGACCGCCGGGCACTTAAGAGATAACATTTGTTCTTCACAGCAGTTTAGAAGTAAATATACGGCCGTAAACATTTTATGGATAGAAGCACGGGTGTTCCGAGCTATTGATTCCGTGAAATCGCCAAAGTCAAAGAGCTCAGAGGTGGCACACTGCCCTCGCTGGTGTGTCGCCCTTCTCTGCCAGCTGTTACTGTTCTCTGGGGACGCCCAGCCGTTCGTGAGTGACCATCTTCTAGACCTTAGCTCTAAAAGTTGATATTTCCTGCCTTCAAGTTTAATCTTGAACTTTATTCTAGGTTTAATCTTCATTGTCAAATTGAATTTTTTCATCTATATATAATTGTTGTAAACTTTATCGGACATATTTTGGTAGATACAGCTTTGGGAATAAATGCATTGTGGGCTTTTTTTTTTTAAGTTCCCTTTCTGTCATTTAACTTTTTAGTCCCTTTTCTTTCTGACAGCCTTAGTGATGACTTGCACATCAGGAGCATAACTGTAATGGTCTCCTCTAAGGGAACATGTGTTGCTCTAGTTCAACAGTGCTGATTTTGCCCCCTCCTAGCTGTGTGGCCTTTGCAGATTACCTTACCTCGCCAAATGTTTTTTTTTTCTTTTTGGCACACACCCGGCGATGCTCAGGGGTTACTCCTGGCTCTGCACTCAGTAATCACTCCTGGTGGTGCTCAGGGGACCATATGGGATGCTAGGAATCGAACCTGGGTTGGCCATGTGCAAGGCAAACACCCTCCCCGCTGTACTATCATTCCAGCCCTACCTCCTTGTGTTTTGGAGAATGTCACTGTACTGAAATTTTTTTTGTCAAGTACCTAGCACAATCTTTTCCTCATAGCAAGTGTTCAGGAAATAGCTGTTGACGCTCCGGTGAGTAGGTCACACTTGGATCGTCTTCATTGTTATAATTCTGGTTGTCGCTGGGGCTTTTAAGTCCGAGATTCCCCAGCCTTGTCTCTGGAGAGCTCCTGCATGTGAGCTTCTCCAGGAGTGTAGGAGGGGGATGAGGTCCTGAAATTGCGTTTGGGGGCTCCAGTCTCAAACTCTGGCTGTGACTAGCCTGAGCGTCACTGCCCGAGACCTGGCCTGGCCTTTGCACATCCTCATCCTTAATTAGCCTCCACCAGGCCCTTTCCACTACCCTGGCTTACTACTGTCCTCCACATCTTTGGTCACACCAGAAAGGTGTCATCAGTCCAGGCCCCTGTCGTGGAACTCGGAGACAACCTCCTTATTCCATACACGGTGATACTGCTCTGGAAGCTCTCGGAACAAGGAGGTCTTTTAGCTCTGCCATGTCCCCAGCTCCCTTCCCCGGGAGTCAGGAGGCTTGTTTGCAGGGCCCACAGAGTGGCCAGACTCCTGTGCTCACCGTCTGTTGTCGCTCAGACTCACGGCAGAGATGCAAGCTCAGACACTAAAATGCGATGGCAGGTTCGCTGGGGGAAGACCATTGCCAAGGGAACCTCGTCATACTGGGTCCCCTGAGCCCACTTGCCTCATTGAGCAATAAATGATGATGACGGCAGCTCGCCTGAGTGCCGAAACCTGCAGGCAGAAAGTGGGGAGGGAGCCTCTCGCCGTTCCGGCCACCTTGCTCGAATTTCCACGCCTCTCCTGATGAGTTCACACATTCTGGCTGCATCAAAAGTATAGTCAAAGTGACGTCTGCACTTTTTTGTTCATTGCAGCACTCTTTACAATAGCTAGAATCTGGAAAAAACCTGAGTGCCCAAGAACAGATGACTGGTTAAAGAAACTTTGGTACATCTACACAATGGAGTACTATGTAGCTGTTAGAAAGGATCAAGTCATGCAATTTACATACAAGTGGTACTACATGGAAAGTATCATGCTAAGCGAAATGAGTCAGAAAGAGAGGGATAGACATAGAAAGATTGCATTCATCTGGGGGATATAAAGTAACAAAGTATGAGATTAATACCCAAGAATAGCTGAGATCAGCACCAGGAGGATTACTCCATAACTTAGAGGCCAGCCGGGTATCCTAGAAGAAAGGGCTGTTCAGATAGAGAAGGGAGCACCAAATAAAGGATGTTGGGAGGATCCTCCCAGGAGGGGAGATGCATGTCGAAAGTAGACTATGGACCGAACATGATTGCCACACAATTCCTCTTTGCAAACCACAGCACCCAAAAGGAGAGAGAGAACAAAAGGGAGTGCCCTGCCACAGAGGCAGGGTGGGATGGGGGGATGGGGGGTGAGCGGAATACTGGGATTAGTGGTGCTAGAGAATGAGCACTGGTGGAGGGATGGGTACTCGATCATTGTATGACTGAAACCCAAGCACAAAAATTTGTAAGTCTACAACTGTACCTCGTGGAGTTTCACTAATAAAAATTTTAAAAAATATATTCCATAGACATTTCCTAAAAATAAAACTCTCGTTTCTGGTCATTTCTCCAGTCTCTGAATAATGTGCCTATTGCTCTTTTTTTTTTCCAAAATTAATGGCTTTGCTTTTTTTTCAAAAATTACTGACCTTTGCTTTCTCCCTCCCCACCCAGCATTCTTATTTTACTGTGCCTGATACCAGAGAACTTCCCAGCATACCAGAGAATGTGAGTACTTGTTCTTCTTTATGTTTTTCACGTATTTTTAAAGCAAAATAAAAGAACACATCCCCTATTATAAAATTAATACATTCTGAAAGTAAAAGAGACTGTGTGAAAGTCTAAAGATGAGGCCGAACCACTATTCCTACTTCTGGGATATTAATACAACACTGCCACCTTCTCATCTATTTAGGGTACATTTTGTGCATGATTAACATCACCTAATCAACGTGCTTTCGTGTTCATTCGTGTTCATTCATAAAGATTTTCATGTTCATTCATAAAGATTGTTTTTGTTGGCTGCATAGTATTCCATTTGCTAATTCCATAGTATTCTTTAGCTCTCCTCTCGCTGTTGTAAGTCCAGGTGGTTTTTCATTGTTTGCAAGTGGTAGCTTTATGTTAAAAAAAAAAATTGATGGGAAGATTTCTTCATCAGAATTAATTAGTGGAATTGTGCTTCAACTACAGTTCTAGGATCACTTTCAAGAGAAGAAATTCAAGCGTTTGTGCAGATAGGTAGGAGAACCCCAGTCTTTCTTTAGGAGGGTTTCTGAGTGCACTGCATAGAACCAAACCTCAAATTACCCCTGCTCGGCACTTGGTCTTATGTTTTAGTTGTGTCAACATCTAAGTAAATAAAACATACCATCTAGCATCTCCAGAGTACAGTTCAGTGGAGTAGAGACTTCATGTTATTGTATACCACAAGTCAGCTCCAGAATATTTTAATCTTTCCCAACTGCTGTTCTGTTCCTAGCGAAACAGCATTTCCCTGATTCCTCCTCCTCCCATAACCTGGCAACCAATATTCTTTTTGTCTCTTGTGAATTTGACTACAGACCTTATGTAAGTAGAATCATATATTATTTGTCATTCTTTTGCGCCTGGCTTATTTTCCCGAGTACAGTGCACTTGAGGTTTCTTTACATTGCACATGTCAGAACTCCCTGCATTTTGAAGGCTGAGTAATATTTCATCAGATATATGTAAGAGTTATATGGGCACCAGGCTGCTCCCACCTTTTGACCGAGGTGGATAATGCTGCTGTGAATATTGGTACTTTCAAGTCCCTGCCTTTGATTTTCTCTCTGTAGAATCTAGGGGGATACACTAGATGGTTTTTTAGAGGCACCGCAATAAGAGGTGTATGTCTCCATAACTACCAAAGAGTCCCAGCAAAGAAATTCTTGTGAGGGCTGTCGATAGAGCGGACAAATTACAGCTGTCAGGCCACCCTGAGTAATGAAGTTAGACTGTCGTGTTGTGATTAGATAACGGTTCTAGCCGGTTTGATGGTAAGTGCCTTCACAAAGTGCATTATCCATATGATTAGACTGCGGTGGAAAATGTTGCTCGGTTTCCAATTGCCATTAAGATGGTAGAAAATTCAGACTAGGGCTTTCTTTCAGTAGCAGTAGCCGTTGCATGTTTTGTCGTATTTATCCAATGACCCTTCACTGCCATCCTTGTATTTTGTCTCTTGCCTCCCTTTATAAGCCTATTATCCACATTTTACATAGGGAAGCAAAGGCCCTGAGAATTAGCCGCATGTAACATTAAGGTCCTGCAGCAAAAATGTGGAAGAGTTAAAATTCCAAATAGGGTCTTTGGTCTGAACCTAGCCACTGGGCGCCTCAGTGCTGAACTATACCGAAAGCCCAGTCTCAACTTCCGTCTCTCAGAAACTGCCAGGGAGATGGTTTTAAAAAATAGGAATTGTGAAGAAAGGAGAAAGGTAACCATGTCGTGACAGAGGGATCTACCATGAGATCCCTGAAAATATGAGGAATTTCTGCAAAATTAAGATGATCTTTGACTCTTGGTAATCTGTTCAGCTAGACAAAGGAGGGACCCCTAAAGAATTCGAAAAGCCCCCAGAAAGAATAGAAGCCTTGTGCTCCCACAGACCAACAACGGGAGGCTACTAGAGGATTATTTTCAAATTCCATGTTACTTTTATTGTAAAAATTAATTGCTGAACTATGCTGAAAAATAGAAGTTAAGCTCTTATTGGTCACTGTCATTTTAAAAATTCATTTATTTGGAGGTGGGTGTTTGGGTCCCACCTGGCAATGTCCAGAGCTTACACCGAACCTGTGTTCAGAGACTGTATGTGGTGCCTGGGGTAGAACCCTGTCAGCAGCTCGTAAGGCCTTCACCCCGGACTACTCCCTGCCCAGCTTGGTTGTTGGTTTATAAATTTGTGAAGTTTAATGTATTTTAATTGTACGGTGTTACCACAGTATACCCACTGCCAGAAAGCCAAATGCCCTTTCTCTGGGCCTCTGTTTTTATTATGACAAGAGAAAACTAAAACTAAAGATGACAGTTAAATCCCTGTTTATTATCTACTTGAGACAGTAGCTGGTCAAGGGGAATGGAGCAGTGACATTGGGCATTATTTGTAGAATAACGCCAGTGAGATGCTCACCAACAGAACCTGCTGTGGGGTGTGGCCAGAGTCCGGGGACCCTCTGGACAGCTCAGGCCGATGCCTTCTGTTGTGAGGGCCAGTGTGGGTATGGGGGACAGTGAGGGTCAGTGTGGGGTGTGGGACAGTGAGGGTCAGTGTGGGGAGTGAGGGTCAGTGTGGGGTGTAGGGGACAGTTGGACGGTGTGGGTTCAGTTGGGGGTAGTGTGGGCATCTGGCTGTTTTCCTAGGCACTGCCCAGTGTGATGGTCACCCGCGGTTCCTGCTGTGTCCAGGGGGAATGTGGGATCAGGAAAAGCATCTGGGAAAGAGGGCGAGCAGGCAGATTTGTTGTTTGTTTTTTTCTTGGGGTGTTGGCCACCCCTGGTGGCTCCTAGGGGGAACTCCCACCCTGGTGATCAGAGTTTGCTCCGGGGACCCTAAGGGACCATCCAGTGCCCCGGGACCAAACCCGGGTCTCCCACACGCAGAGCTAGAGTTCGACCTTGAGCTCTCTGCCTAGCCCTAAAGCGGTGCTTCATCCCCCAGATTTTACTAGGCATCTCCAGAGCGGATTTTGTCTCGTTCCGTTTTGATTTGGAACGTCCCGAGCCCTGTTCTGGAAGTCTAGGGACATGGGTGACTCTTGGCCAGCGGCATGGACCAGTCGCTGTGAGGGTGGGGCGCTGCTCATGTGTTGCTGTGCTGGGGAGTCCTGGGCCACCCTAAGCGTTGGGGTCGGAGGGATCCCCAGGTCCACTCCTGCGTATGCTCCAGTGCCACACCCGTGATGTGGTGTTGGGAATCATCTGCTGGGCGCGTGCCAATGTCCACACCCTTACCACACCTCTGTCCCCGGGTCTCATTGTTAACCAGGTTTCTATGGACATGTCGGTTGTTTCTGTTTTACTGTTAGAAATAATGGAATAATTACTGCCCAGGGTGGGTTTTCATTTGCTTGTTTGTTTGGAGGCCACAACTGGCAGTGCTCAGGGCTTACCCCTGGCTCTGTGCTCAGGGGTCACTCCTGGCGGGACTCAGGGCACCATATGGATTACTGGGGATTAAACCTGGGCCAGCTGCATGCAAGGCAAGTGCCCAGGCCACTGTGTTATCGCTCCAGCCCCTTTTTTTTTTCTTTCTTCAGGACCAAGATTGCCTTGTCTGCTAATTTCTTAATTTTCAGAATCATAGTTCCGGAGCGCAAACCTAGCTTAGAAAGAAACAGGCCATACTCCCCTGGCTTCTGCCTGTCCCCTCCCCCAGTTCTTGTCTGCCTCCTGGTCCCCACCTCTTTTTTTTTTTTTCATCAAAAATTTGCATTTCCTTTGCTGGTTTCGCCACTAATGAAGCAATGCCCTGGGTGCAGCCCATTGTCCCTTAAATCCTCCTACTGGCCTTGTTTCTAAGCAGGAATAATAAAAAACAATCTGCCAGAGCTCTGTGTGGTTCCACTTCCATCCCTGAAGCTGCCCTGTGAGAGGCATCATGAACCCCATTTCCCTCTTGGGGATTCCGGGTGCCCAGGCATTAGCTCCAGCCCAGGATCTTCTCCTAAGTTAGGATCTCCCAGCCCAGGCAGAAGGACCCGGAACATTTTGTTTCCATTTTACCCCCTGCCCCGAAGGGCTCGAGGTTGACCTTTGATATTCATGAGGAAAACGGAAAAGAAATGATTTTCCATATCTCAGATATGAAGTGAAGCAGGAAAGCTGGTCCTCTGAGGAGACTCTGAACTTTCGTAGGACCAATTTGTGTGATTTTTGACATAGAATCGCTACTGGGCTCTGGCCATGTCGAAATTTGCATTTTAATCTCTTGGTGATTTTTGCAGGATTAATTTAAAATGACTCCACGGCTGCGTTGCAAATTGAAACAAGCAATAACCGTGGGGCTGTTAACACGGAACAGGCGCTGCAGTGGCGGGAACACGCGTTCCAGAGATGAGCTGACTCTGGGCCCCACTGGGCGGTGCATCCAGGACCCAGAGCTGTCGACCAGGCACTTGGGTGCAGAGGGGCTGCTCCCCAAGACCCCCAACTTCCCCTGCTTCCAGGGCCTCTCCTCGAACTTTGGTCTTAACCTCCCTTGCAGTTCAAATGCTACTTCTGTATTGGCAGGAATCCACGGGCATGTGCTCAGGGCCACCGGGGTTGCACCCAGCCCGGGAGTCCCCATGGTGCTGGGGATCGAGCCCATGATGCCGTGCATGCCAGCAGCCCTTGGCCTCGACCAACCCTTTGAGCTACCTCTCAGCACTGCATCTTAGCACTCATCTTTAGGTCAAGCTCAGTGATGCCCCTGGAGAAGCACTAGGGAAAATCGCTAAATTCCGGCTTGGGTCACCGTGATTGCCCACGCTGGGGTCAGGGCTCTCTCCCTCTCATCTCCCTCTCATCAGGGCTCTCTCCATCTCGTCTCCCCCAAAGTGTGAATCAGTGTCGGAGTATTTGCTTCATGTCATTTTGCCTGCCTTATGGGACAGGGATCAGTGTTTTTTCACCATTGTATCGCTGCGATGAGCTCGGTGTCTAAAACATGGGGAGGGGCCAGAAAGATAGTACAGTGGGGAGACTGCTTGCCTGGCATGTGG